TTTATATTGGTATAGATGATATTGATAATAATAAATTATAAAGAGAATTGAAGGAATATTCTTTATATCCATAGGAAGGCATTCTTTCTACATGCATAAGAAAATATATTAAATTCCAGTGGTGGAAATTTTATTAATCCATGTCTAGAGCAGACTGCATGTCTAACTATTTTTTATTTAATTGGTAAGTTAATTAAAACAGTATTTGTTCGTGGGTAACTTGATATAGTTTCTCTGAATATTTGAAAATTTTTTCTATAATTTGATTAGGACAGATTAAAAATTTATACTCAGCACTTATTTTGGTTATATATCATATATTTGAATTAATATATATTTTTATACTTTTCAAATATACTGAAATGATTTAAAGTTATATTAATGGATATTTCTTAATGACATTCTGTTACAATATATTAATATTAATATTAATATATGACACTCATATGCATTCGTGTTGTGATGTTTGGTGGAGTGGAAGAAGATTGGTTGAGTGATGAGGTGGCAGAGCGACACCGAACTTGTCAACCGATCACAACATTCCTTTTTCCAAAAAAGTAAGACTTAGATTTCAATAATCAATATTTCAAAGTCTCACACACACACACACACACACACACATTTCAATAATCAATATTTCAAAGTCTCACACACACACACACACACACACACACACACACACACACAATCCAAACCAAAATGTGTGGTAGTTCTGAACCAATGAAACCCAAATGCCAAAGTATTTCTCTTCTAATTTTATTTATAAGGTAAAAAAATTTAATTTATTTATAAGACACTTGTCAATTTATAATAGTCCTCTTTATATTTTATTTTTATTAAATATTTTAAATAAAAATATCAGTAAAGGGATTTAAAAATATTTATTAAAAACAAATGTGAAAACTTGTTAAATTTCAAGACAAAATTCATGAGGTTTAAGATTTTTTTTAATTTTTATAAAATATATTAAAAGTGACTTATAAATAAAACCAGAAGGCATATATTGGTAAATTTTTTCCCCCTTATAAGCTTATACCATTTTGGTATATATGTTTTTAACTTTTTTTTTTGGCTATAGCACTTCTGTCAATTTGCCCTTGGCTTTTTTATTTTAAAAAAAATTATTTAAAATTATAAATGAGTTCAGTACAATTGAACTAAAGCAAGGAAAATACCATCACATCTTAATTCAAAATTTTAAGACTCAATTTTATAATATTTTATTTTATTATATATTATTATTACGTTTAATTTTATTTGTTGTAAGATTTCCTATATTAACTTAATTCCAATCACATTTAGACATCTTTAAAAAAATTTCATTCTTATAATCATTGATATATCAATGTAAAATTTATGAGAAGAAATCATAAACAATATAACTCATTTTAAGTTGTGTTTAAAGCATGAGTTATATGGCTTAGTTTTTTTTTATCAACATATGGCTTAGTTTATCTCTACTGTCACTCAGTAGAGTACAGGACATGCCATGTTTAAGGCTTGTGAAGTGGGTCACTTCTTAATTCTTTTACCTTTTTTTTTTCTTAATATATATTTTAGAAGGAACAATGAATATTGATAGTTATGCTACATTTATGCATACTGCTGCCATGACCACCAAAATTATTTGTGAAGTCAAGGTCGTCCAGTGTGTCAGAAGTCAAAACTTAGGACAATAAATGTGGCTGGAAATAAAAATGGCATTATCATGCTAAAACATACACCTGGGCTATAAGCTTACAGAAACTAGAAAGTTATGAAACAAATATCAGACAGCAATATTACATATACGCCCTTGAAAATTACTGGAATTACTGGTGCTCCTTCCTCTCTCTCTCTCTCTCTCTATATGCCAGAATAGGGTCCCTTTGATAAAGTCACAGCATGCAAAACCTGACCAACATATCATAATATACAATTCTGGCATCTGATTCTTGAATCTCCACAGACATGAATCCCTGACCATCATAGTAGAACTTCACTCCTTCTTCTCTGTTCACATCAAAGTCTCCTCTCCATGACTTTGAACCACCTCCACTAGTCAAGAACTGCATTTTGCTGCACCACCAACTCTCACACTAATCAAAATATTCATATATTGATTCAGAAGAAAACAATCATGTGCTTGAAAGATAAAGCACATACCTTGTAGTGCTGCTTATGTGTTCCAGACAATGGTCATGCCCATTGATGTACATATCTACATTGTGTGCCTGCAATTTTGCCATGAATATAAGATCATTGTTCTTTAGGATTTATTAGGCTATGAGATTTGAGATTACCTCAAGGATTGGAAGGAGCTGTGTCACAAGCTCTGGGGTATCACCATGGTGTCCCACGCTTCTAATTGTGTGGTGCCCAACTACAATCTTCCATTTTGATGTTGAAAGCTTCAGTGCCACTTCCAGATCTATTTATAGCCCCAAACAAAAAAAGATATAAAAGAGATAATATAGCAGTACTATGGAGATTATTAATGGTTCTGAAACCAACCTTCAGGAGGTTTGATAGGTATTTCTTTCTGGATGAACACCTCTCCAATCATATTTATGGTCCTTTGGATCATAAAAATACTTGTCCACAAATGGATTTGTATCCACAAAGAAAAACTCGGCTATTTCTGCAATTTTTTTTTTGAACGTTAATGGATGGGGAACAGAAACAAATTGATCTTGCTCATTCAGTATCAGGATCCATTCCTAGCTTACCAGTGTTAACAATAAATGATCTTTGGCAAATCCATCTTTGATCTATTTTATTTAGAACTGGATTCAACTGAGCTAAAACATCTCCCCTGTAGTCATGATTGCCCAACACTAAAGCCAACAAGTTCATATGTCAGATAACAGATTTCTAATAATTATATTATAATTATTAATTGGGTATTAGAATTCAAAATTCACCGTTAAACCATGGCTTTTGGAGGCTACTAGCAGTGTAGATTTTTGAGAAAGAAAGTTCAAATGCAGGGTCATCTATACCAGTCAACCCATCATCATAAAAGTTCTCCAGTCCAGTAGATATCACAAAGTCAATGTCTAGCTTTCCAGCAACTTTCCCCATCTGACATACACACAAAGATCTCAGTAAACACAGAAGTTGAAACAGCTTAGAGGAGTAGAAAATCCAGATGAAGAGCAAAGCATGGATATCCTAAACATTTTCAACTGTTTATATGGAAAAGATGGGTTAAAATCCTGAGTAACTTGAAGTTGATTCTAGTTTTCATTCCTTTCATTGATACTAGTGATTAAAAAAAAAAAAAAGAATATATGAACGAGTTTTTGAGAAGACAAGGAAATATGAGGAAGAAAGGACTGCTTGAAAGACCTGAGAAGCAACTTGAGATTGATTGTATTCTCCTTTCCTTCCCCAGTCTCCAATGACCACGAAGCTGAGCGAGCCATCACCTTTCACTGGGTGGTCTCTGCGTTCAAGAAGAGAAACACAGAGAGAAAACACACAAAAAGACACCAACGACCATAAAAGGCTTGAACTGATGAAGCCAGCCATGGTGCTTTTCTCTGTATGAGATTCTGTACTTGAGAGTCTCTCACACAGAGAATATGGAACAGAATATGGAATATTTCCTTGTTGAAAGAGTGTTACGTTGGGACTTCTTATATATAAGAAAACAGAAAAGCTTGAGATTTGTTAAAAGATATCACTATTGAATGACAAAGATGTGAATGGATATGGGCTTGGCATACAATCAAATCATGCCTCTTGTCGTGTTAAAATAATAAGCCCCATGGACAACCCTGAAGCAAAATAAAATCAATAAGACAACATTTAAACTACCGACCCAAAAAAATATGTGATGCTGATAAAAGGAGCTCAGCTCAAAGGTTTTGCTGATCATATAAATATATAATTATAATATTATCTGGGCCCCACATAGGCATCTCTTACAGCTTACAAGTTAGTGTAGCTTCTGCGTAATTTCGTTGCTTGATGGCAGACTTGGTTTGTTTGTTTTTTTTTGGTGTGTGCAAATGAAATCGAAACTCTCTCAATTGGAAGCATCGAAACAGAGAATTAGAGAAAGCTGACGACTGATGAAGCAGACGCGCGAAGCAATTAATGATGATAGACTGATAGTGATGATGATGCGTTCGTTCGTAGATACGTATAGGCAACATGTTCCTAACCACTTCGTCTTTCCCCCAATGAAGGTATGTTTTTTGCAAATATTGGACAATGAATTTGAATGAAGTGAAAACGCAACCCTCCCTCACTTTTGAGTCATTTTCCACCTGAAAATAATTAAATTGATTTTGTGTTTTCAGTGGATCTCATCTTATTATATATCATCATTCTCTTTCATTAAAGGAGAATATCTGAAGTCAGATTTTTCCAATTTTTTGTGCCGTTAACCATTCTCATCATCTACTGCCTCTTCTCTTCTGCTGTCATAAGTTCAACATAATGCCTAGCATACCAGCAGGTGCCACAAGAAACTAGTTATTTATAATGTGATAAATCAATGTTTGAATCTCTACTAAAAGAAGTGCTCACATTTTAATACCCAACATTGCCTTAACAAAATTGTCTTCAATAGAATGATACAAACGTAAATGTGCAATAAAAATAATAATAATAATAATAATATCTTGCCAAAGTGTTCCAAATATGCCAATACATTTAACTTTCATCAGTATTTATGGAAATCTGATAAATTTTGATATACCATTTGTTCACTGTTCCATTACATTCCAATACAACCATTGCATGTTCCAGAAATCTTTAATTACCTGATGGATTTGATTCCAATCCACGCACATATTTTTATAATATTATATGCTAGAGCCTTTTCACAAGAGCCAGCTCCAGATAATGTAGCAAATTTCCTGTGGACCATATTTTGTCTGGAAAATAATAAGCAGATCCAATGTATTTTTTTACACACATTTGGCACATCATAAATTATTCAAACTTTAATTTATGGCCTTAACAATATCAATCATCAAACCCCATAATCTTTGTAAATATAGACAGGAAACACTGAAGAAGACGAGTACTTTCAGTTATGAAATTTCAACTCCTGCATTCAGAATCTCTTACTGAGGAATGGATATGCGCTATGATTAAGCATGGAAAACAGGATTGAGAATTAAGAAACCATCTATTACAGATTCCAACAACCTTGTGGATTTCTAAACTTACGACCAAAGCCATAAAAAATTTTACATGGATGAATATAGCTGCTTTGACGTAGTTAATCTATGCAACACTTTGCCAGAAACATCATAGAACTCAATGTTTGCATCTGTCTGAGTCAATTTCACCGACATGAAACCTTGTCCATCATAGAAGAAATTTAGTCCTCCTCCCTTTACTTTTTTGACGTCTCCCCTCCAAGCCTTTGACCCAGCTCCGCTAGTCAGGAACTGTATGGGGCTGAATTAGAAAAAAGAAAAAAACTTTGTGTATTTAGATGGATTTGTTTTTTCTCTGATTAATGTATGGATATAGATATGATTTTTAGTTCAGATTTACCTGTGTGTGTCACTTATGTGTTCAAGACGGTGGTCATGCCCATTCATGTAGAAGTCAACTTTATTAGCCTGAAATTTCATAGAAAAGAAGAGTTAGGCAGACAAACACAGATAAGTAGGACCATGTTTTGCTGTTAATGTTTCTTTTGTGGATTGAGGGCCATAGTATTGTCTTCGACTGTTGACGCTGATGTTTTTTTTTTGTGTAATAATTAGTGATTAGTCTACTAATTGCTAATCAACTTTGATCATTGCCCATGAGGGCCATGCTCATCAGGAGGATAAACATGTCATGTCCATCTTTTTTTGAATCTTCTAAATAATAATGAAACCACTCATTTTATCTGTAAAATAATTGCCGTCCAACCATTTAAAAAATTAATATTTTGGAAGCTTAAAAATATCTAAAAAGGCTATGGCATACTATTTCCCTCATATTTAAAAAGATTCTGAATGATTGAATTAGTTTGTCTGCTTACTTTCATTTCACTATCTTCAACGAAAAACTAATTTCAGAATTTAAACTGTCTAAAATTTCACTCTAGCTGCTGGATGAAAAATAAAACAAGTGTCGTTAGTTGTGTATTCTCATTTTTTTTTCTTACCTGAAGAATTGGGAGAAGCAACTTTATAAGTTCTTTTGTATCACCATGATGACCAACGCTTCTAATTGCATGGTGACCTACAACTATTTTCCACTTTGCTCTCGATTCTCTCAGTACCGATTCCACATCCTGAAACACCATAACCCCATAATATGTCAAGTGTAAAACATCTATTATCCTCACTATGTAAAGCAGAAACACTTTTATCAATTCATTACCTTAAGCAAGTTGTTAACATAAGATTTTCTTGGGAGAATTCCTCTCCAATCATATCTATGTTCACCTGGATCAGAGAAGTATTCCTCAACAAAAGGACTAGTGTCTACAAACAAAATCTCAGCCAGCTCTGTAATAGACACAGGAAAAAAGAACATCAGATCAGAAAACTATATGGGATTGAAAATTTACTTCAAGCATCATGAATATTGACCTCAAGTTACCTGAATCTACAATAAAAGACCTTAAGCAAAGCCATCTGCTATCAAGCTTTCTAAGGACAGGGCCCAATTGGGCCAATACATCACCCCTGTAGTCATGGTTTCCTAACACTGGATCACAATTAAAGAACAGGTTAGAATAGGTAATGAACTAAAGATATGGAAAAAATGATATGGATTCAATCCCATTATTGGTGTGTTTAGGAATTACCACTGTACCACTGCTTTTGCAGGCTTTTTGCTGTGTAAATATTAGTGAATGATTCTTCAAACGCAGTGTCATGTTGGCCAGTGAGTCCATTGTCATAGAAATTGTCTCCAGTAGATATTACAAAGTCTATGTCAAGCTTCTCTCCAACCTTCCCCATCTGCAAAAAAAAGCACCATGATTTAAGCCCATATTGAATTTGGCAAGACAAGCCCAAAAACTCATTAATGATATGTCCAGTTACAATTCATGAATGGAATATATATGTATATATATATATTCATATATGTATAGATAGATACAGAATCAGATATCTTTTTTCCTCATGTAAATGAAGATGCAATGAAGTTTCTACCCAGCACATATCAGTAAAACAACTAGTTATCCATGCAACTGCATGATCATTCTATATTACAACTTGCTTTCCTACAAACCACAGAAATGACAGAGAACCAAACCTGGAAAGCAACTTCGGATTGATTGTAAGCTCCTCTTCTTCCCCAATCACCAATAACCAAGAAGCTCAGGGATTCATCAGTTTTTGAGGGGTGTGCATATCTCTGAAGTTCTGCAGATGCATAAAGCACCCACAAACCAAAGCTAATGATGACAAGAAGGAAAATAGGCACATTGAGACCTGCCATGGCTCTTGTGGTTGGTGATGCAGAAACCACACCAAAGCACCCCAGAACAGGTTATGAAATCCTAGTCAAGCATGCATATGTATATGTGTGTGTGTGTATTTTTTCGTCGATCCCTAAGAAAGCCTTGGCGTCATCATCCACTAGACGATCCACACCAAATGTGACAGCAGGTGCGGCAGTGGATAAAGTGGGCAGAATATAAAATAAAAGGAGAATCTGATATTGAGCTAATCGTCAATCAACTTGAAGGCAAATCAGAACAATGATACTTAAGAAAACACTGTATAAGAATACAGGTTTTGCAATGCTAACTAAGAATCACGAATGGTAGGTAGAGCTAGAAAATGCTAGGAAGGTTAGTTCAGAACCAAACAAATTTCGCACCAAACAAATTTTTACCCATTGACGCCTTGGATCGTGCACGTAGCTGCGTCACCACATAAATTTACAACCTTTGTTGAAAAAAAAAATGACCTAAATTAAGCCAATAAAAAAAACCCATTAAACCCCTCAATTAAACATGTAATGTAATGATGATATACAGATGGCTGAAATTGCGAGAGAGTCTATATTAGGGTTGGCCAAAGAAAACGGTGGATCAATGGAAATGGGGCACATTGGCCTGACGCTGACAAGCCTGTGACGCTTTTATTTTTTAATAACAGGGCTAAGGTCTAAACAGTGTTGAAGAAAAACATAATTAGGTTATGTCCAAGTTCGTGTATTGATTTGCTTCTACGGAAGATAGGAGTCTGAATTGAACCCCACGGAATGAACAAGTCTGTCACGTTAAATGGACAAAGAAAGCGGGGAGAGAAGGAGAGAGGCATAAGGACAGAAATATGCGAATATGCCAATGGTGACGGTTGGAATCAGTGGAATATGCGGAGATCCCGTTTGAAGAGATGGCATATTATTCAGAATATTCCAATCTTCAAATTTCAGTTGCATGGTACCCAAATTATTCCACTGGTTTCGCTTTCACACCAAATTCCTGTTTCCTCTTCTTTTTCTTTTCTCTTTTCTTTTTCAATTCTGTGCCAACCACTTGTCAGACGTATTATGAGATGTCCCCCCCTCCCTCCCTCCCACCACGCTCCACGGAGATCCGATACATTCGCCCTCAAATAAAAAAAATATATAAAATATTTTTAATCCGATCACATTTTTAATAAAGAATTAATTATCTTAAATTTATATTTTTTATATTGTTAATATGGTATCTTTCTTAAACGTAAAGGGTTAGGTAATTTATTTATTAAAAATATTTTTTTTAAAAAATAATTGATTATATATTAAAAAGTGAAAAAATATTTATATTTTTTAAACGTTTAACCTTTGAAAAAAAAAAAGGAATCTTATGGGTGACTTAAGTATATTTATTTTAAGAAATTCTTATGTGATACAATAATACATGGGGGACTTACGTCAAAGGGCCCGTCATACCTTAGAATCATATACGAACACTCAAAAATTATCAAATATCTACTTTTGGAGGAGATGGCAGGGGGTAACGAGTGCACAATCAGATTAGGTTTTGAATTTTTGGAGAAAAAAATATCTGGACAATTTTTTTGATATATCTTGATAATTTTTTAAGTATTGATGAAATTGTATAATAAAAGACTTCATTAAATAAGTTATTCATACCACTCCTTGTATTCAAATTCAAAAAAAAAATTATATTTTTTGATGGAGGAAATTCTCCTGTCAAACATTACTCCACTTGGCCATCCTATTTTATAAACCATTTTCGAGGTTATTTGTTATTTTAAAATATAAAATGCTTTGAAAAAAAAAATTCATTAATGTGATTTTCGTATAACTACTCCATTGTCTTACTCCTTATATAAATTTCATTTCCCCTGTCCCTTATTAATGAAAGATATTTTTAAAAGTTTAAAAAAATAAGAAGATACATTGTATTTAATAAATTTCATTAGCACATGTAATTTTGCCAAAAAAATATATTATAAATCGGGAAGGAGGAAGTATTATAACACATTTTTAAAGGCGTTCTTTTCATTTCAAATTATAAGACAAGAAAGATTCAACTATCAAAATATAAAACACTTTGGTTAAAAATAAAGTCTCATTAATTATACTTTTTCTATATATTACCATTCATATTATGTTATCTTTATTTAATTTTTTCATAAATAAATTATTAAATGAAGGTATTTTGAAAGTTTATATATTTTTTAAAAAAATAAAGTCATAAAGTATCTTAATAAATTTTGTTAATGTATGTAATTTTATTTAAAAGTGTCTTATAATTAAGATAAAAGGAATATTATGTAAAAAAAGGATAAGACTTACTCCCTCCGTTCAAACATATAAGACATTTTTTAAGTAGTTGGGTGTTTAAAAATATAAGATATTTTAGTCTTTCGAGGTGTAATCATTTTTTTTCAAAAGTGCCCCTATTAAAGTGACTTATATATTTATAAAAATGTTTAATAGGAATAAATATAAAAAAATAGGGTTAGTTGAAAGTAGATAACTACTTTAAAGAGGTGAGATTTGGTTAAAAAATAACTTATATTTTTAATAGAGGGAGTAGATAGTTATTCTTTTTTTACTTCATATATTTTTATTTAATTAAATTGAGATAATTAAATTTTGATATATTAATAATATTAATAAT